CACTTTGATTAACCCCCCATGCATACGGTCATTTTTGCACACCAAACATGAGAACTGCTTTAATATCATTTCTTCTGAGGTACACAGACAGCTGGGAGATGGCTATGGCCTAAGAAGTAGACAATTAATAAACAAAATAAGAGTAACGGTCCTGGGCAGTTTCCTCTGTCTTACAGAGAAGGGCAGTGTGGCAACTGGAGGCTGGGTTATTATAAAATAGACAAAGCTGCCATGGTCTGTGAGCAGTATAATGTCTGCACTATTCATAAGATTAATTTTAAGAGTACATCACTACATTTTAAGAGTACATTTTACTACATTTGTTGACTTTGTAGTAACTCATCATAAGCTACTGATTTTCCAGCATTGATCCTCAGAATATTATGTGCAGAGTGTTCAAAATTAGTGAACTATTCATACAAGCCAATTGCTTGTAAAAAGCAGAATTGAGACTATTCAGGAGAATTTGCCTTTTTAAGAAAGAATTTTTTATCTATCCACAAACTAAATCTGTCACCACAACAAAAGAAATACTGCTTGATCTCCCAGGCCAAGCCGCATCTGTTAATGGCCTCATTCTGTCCCATGGGCACCAATGACAACTCTGTACTATGCAGGCAAAAACTGTCTGAACATGCTTTCCCAGGCCAGGCTATGCTGTTTTACAGTTATGACCAGTTTGGTTCCTTATCCACTGTGAGGATTTCTGAAAGAGAAGTGCAGGTGCAAAGCAGGTGTGTACCTTGAAACCCAGCTGCTGTGTATGGAAAGGCTCTTCCTACACTCTCACTGAACTGCAGAAGTCTAAATTTGAGCTCCGTTTGCCTTATAAACATAATAATTACCTATTCAGTAATTAGTGCTACATAATTTCTTTAAGTAAGAGAGTTATTGTCCACATTTGAAAACACATCTTTTTGGATAAGCAAGGAGCAGATTTTTTTCCTTACACAGGAAATACATACCTTTCATTGGTAGTTAGGGAAGACTACATTAAAGGAAAGGTTATAAGTCAACAAAAGCAAGAAAGTAAAATTAGGAATTGTCAGAATTTGGGTCATTTATGCCAATTTAATTTTTCTATTTTGTGGATGTCCAATACAATGCAAATCTTAATTAAATCATCATAGATATATTTTTATTGTAAATGATCTTACCTCACTTAACACATTTTATGAACAGCTAGCTCAATACTTCATTTCTCCTTGTCACTCAGACCCTGCTCCTAGGACAGAATATTAATTTCCTCATGAGGTTTACAAAGATGCTCATTGCTGTAATGTGCAGGAGCTGCACAAACATTGACTAATTTATTCTATGTTATAAGGGAATGATACAACTCTCAGAATGCAAATGATGTTCTGATACATGCAGAGATTACATTCAGAAGTATTCATACATTATAGGCATCCAACTTGAGGTGCTTATGAGTTCATTTTTCAGAACACTTGAGGTTATACACTACTTTATAAGCTCAGTGTTCAGCTCCCTGTGGCTGAGCATGCAGCACTTGTGCAAATCAGACCACAAGGTCTCAAGACAAGAACCCAGAATGCAAGGGGAAAACAAAGAGCGTGACAAGTTTGTTAAAGTGATTCACTTTGTGTCAAAAAGGGTTTCAGTGTTTGAGAGCAGAGATAAATCTCAGCTACACAGCACAGCCTTCACAGCAAAAGCAATCCTTTTATTCTTGCTAGCATGTGCTTCACTCTTCCCATTGTCTTCTGTTTTCTGCAAATCAAGTTTCTATTCCCTGGCTGTGATAACCAGAAACCCCCCAAAATCTGTCCTTTCTGTTGAAACTGAGGTGACAATATAATAAGAATCGGTATACATCTATCCAGTTCAGAACTGCAAATATATAAAAGGATCATAGTAAGATTGCAAAGAAGGGCTTTAATAAAATTTTTTCTAAATGTTGAGTGTTTTTTTCTGAAAATTTTGTAATACTTTTTGACCATTACATGTATGTGTGTAAATGTATACGTATTTACCTTCTAGGTTAAAAAAATTATATATTCCATTATGTAGCATCACACTAACACCTGCTTGAGTCATTAAGAAAGCTTTAACTTTTAGATCCATGATGAACACTTATTTTTGCTAGCAGAGAAACAGACCAAATTGCCATCCTCTGTATGAAGGGACATATCATGCATGTTGACAATTTTGTCTCAGCATGGGAATGTTTAGGGTCTGAAACATCAGGTCCACACTGATCCTCAGGCTTCATTTCCCTTCCAAGGCACCTCACCTAACCTGTTTCATGACCTGATCTGCCATTCAACCTCTCCCACTCCATGTCCTAAACGTTATCCTATCCGTCCTGTTGTGCCTGCTCACTCTTCCTACCCCACATCCAGCGATTTCTGCCCCAGTTCTTTTTTGCCAGACACATTCAATCCACCCCGGCTCAGCTGGTCTCATGCTCAGCATCACAACCTTTACCATATCTGGCAAGAAGAAGGAATTCTCCACATAGGTTGAACCAATAAGAAGAGTTGGGGGTTTTATTTTGTACATGTATGATGCACTACTTAAAAATCACGTGGATGTTTTTGTAACAGATTCCTCCTAGTGGAAGGACCTAGGACCTGGTAATATCTTTGTTTATTTCCCCCATGAT